TGGTTGAAACAAGGATTCCGGAGATATAAAGAATACCGAAATCCGAGTTATAACGAAGAAGTTATGACATGTCGAAGTTTCGCGACAGAACCGGCACGACGCTGTGTGACGTAAAAAGTGAATTTACGATAAAGTGCTTTTTAGCCTTAGTGATCTAAATGAAAATCGTAGTACACGTTAAAACGAGAGCGTGCATAAAAATAATGTCCAAATCTGACTTCGTATGAGGAAGTTATGAATTTTCTAAGATTTGGCATAACAGTATGCAGCCCGGAATTCGAATTATAGATCAAGTGGTTCTTAGTCGACACAACCTAAAAGAGAATCGAAGATCTTGTTAATAGTGGTTCAACGGTAAAAAGACAGATGAAAACGGACGTCGGATGAAGAAGTTATGAATTTTTAACGGACTTTTCCTGTCCCGACCTGTTAAAAATATAACTTTAAAAAAATCAAAATTAGCCGACGAAGTCTAAACGAAAGTTGTAAAGCATGGTCTCACCTACGTGTGGATATAAAGAACGTCCAAAACGGAGCTCGTATGTGAAAGTTACGAATTTTCGAAGTTTGTAAAACGGAGTACGCCCAGTGTACTCGGAAGCTAGGCCTCGGATTGTCCACGTCGCCCTTACCCTCGCATGCAACACATATCTCGCACACTTGACACATCCGGAGCCACGTATCACGGTACGCCCAGCGTACGAAAGCATACGCCCAACGAAGAACCTTGCAAGGCAGTACGCCCCGCGTACCAGGAAGTTACGCCCAGCGTAATGCCAAGCTTCGGCCACTATAAATAGCATGCGAGACCATCCGATTTTTGTTTACAAATTTAATACCTTTCCACCCTCTACTTTTTTTTTAAGCTGCAATAAATACCCCCGAAGCCTCGGGAACACCCCTAACACCCGAAGAAAGCCCGGAACCCCGAAGTCTCCAAGAAAAAGAGTTTTTCGAGTCGAAACTCTGCCCGCGTAGAGTCCGGTTTTTGAGTAAATCTCCCGGTTTTATCGAAAAATATTGTTTTAAGGAACGAAGTGCTGTCCAATCACCACCACATCAGGTGAGTGTATTGTCACTTTCATCTTACACATAGATATGAAATATTTTATATAAAATACATGCTATGTGTATATATGTTGTTTGTTTATTTGAGATAGATGTTGAATGAATGTTTTATACATGTTTAGAATGATTTAAACTGTATATATGTAATTTTTTTATGTACAAATATGTTGGGTATAACATGGGTAGATAAAATAGTTGATGTATGATGAAATAAAATGATGAGAGGTCTCGATGTTGACGATGTTCCAGTCATCTAGCAGAATATAGATGCCGACCACGGACTTCTCTAGACAGTCTAGTGGAACATTAACTGACTCGTAACCTGTAGGTGTTTTTGAACTATGTGTTCATTAGGTGTTTTTGAACTATGTGTTCATTAGGTATTTTTGAACTGAGTGTTCACTAGGTGTTTTTGAACTAGGTGTTCAATAAGTATTTTTGAACTAAGTGTTCACCAGATATATTTGAACTACGTGTTTACCAGATGTTTTAAACTACGTGTTCACCAGTTATAATTTAAGAACCCTGGCAGTGATGGACATCGTGCCTATTCCTTAGGATAATCCTTAGGAATGAATGAATGAACGACAGATGATTCATAAGATATTTAAGAATAAAGAAGATAATGGGGATGGGAAATTGGGTTGATTGTTTGATGTTTAAACATAATAAATTTATTTATTGTGGGTTGAAAACCCGATGTGCTCACCAGGCTCCCAAGCCTGACCCACTCAGCTTTCTATATTACAGGTAGTGGAACAAGAACATAGTTGGATGATGACGGGAGATTTTGAATTATAGGCCAGTAAATGTAAATAAAAGTTGTAAGACCTATATTGTATTGTTTATGCTTTTGATCTGTATCGATGTTGACATCCCACGTTTGTAATGAAATGAAAATACATTTCTTTAAGAAATGCTTTGATAAATTTTTATCATATTTTGTTTTGGGAACAAATTCCGCAATACTTTTTGAAATATTACTCTGATTTTATTTTAAAAGCATAAACGAAATCGGTCTTTTCTGGCCGTGAAAATGGGGATGTCACACAAAACTTTATCTTTCTAGTAGCATCTCCACCAAGCAATCCTTGTTTACTTAGAACTGACATGCCCTTCTCACTCATGTGCCCTAACCTACGATGCCACAACTTCATCTTGTCATCACCTTCATTCAAGGATTGGGAGATAGTCACCGTTCCCATAATCGTACTGCCTTCTAGGACATAAATTTCATCAAAAATGGAGTTGAAGCGAAGAAGTTATAATTGTTTGAAGTGTAAGTCCCAAAACACTTAGCTTAATAGGATATCAATCAATCTATCTAAAGAATGCGGAATATAAATCAGATAGCGATTTAAGAACACGGAAACAACTCTTAATGCACATGATTTTATTGAATGAAATCTTCCGGTACACAAGAATACTCTTAACAACCGAATACCACAAAGATTGAACAACTAGCACATGTCAACAGATGAAAAGATATATATATATATATATATATATATATATATATATATATATATATATATACAACCAAGTACAAAGCCTTAAAAGGCCCAAGCCCATGATGACCGAAATCACCATAGTGATTTCGGTCCCTATAACCGAAAACACTATAAACCCATAATATAAAGCCCAAGAATAATAAAAGACTAGAAGCCCAACATAAACCATTTAAAATATGACCCAACATGAAGTGAGGAAAAGGGAGTCTGGTAGTACGCAGAGTGTACACAAGGGAGTACGCAAGGCATACATGCTGAGGGTGGGACGCGTCTTTAGTGAAGTACGTAGGGTGTACCCAAAGTTACACATGACGTAATTTCGCAGTGTAAAACCCCTAATTTCGGGGTTTTGACCCCTATTTAAGGTCTCTAACCCCCTAGGGGTCCTTCCTATCATGATCCTCAACCCTCTTAAGCCTCTAACTTGAAACCCAGGCCTCCTCTCACTTATTTTGAGCCTTAGCATCATTTAATAACTTATTTCTCCATTAGAAGGTGGAATCTTGAAGAACAAGGTGGTGGTAAAGTGTATGGAAAAAGGATTCAAGCATAAATCCAGCAAGATCACATCATTTATGGAACATTGTGAGTAAAAGTCTTCAAACTTGCTCATTAGTTTCATAGATCTTGTTAATTTTCATATTTGTCACTTTTCGGTCACTTTAGTGCATAAAGTTTAGATCTTGAAAGTTTGTGACCTTGTTATGGATAAAGTTGGAAAATTTATCCATCTAAACATCATATTGATTCACACCTGAAGGTTGGAGACTTGGACTTAATGGATTAAGTTAAGAAAGATGCATTTTTGGTCCATTTTGAGACTTAAAGACTAGATCTTGTTTGTTTGGACCATCTAAATGGATAAAGTTGGAAACTTTATCCATTATGAAGCTATTAGGATCCAAATATGATGCTATGAGATTTGGTCTTTATGGTTGAAGATCTTATTTAAGAAAGGCTTTTTAGACTGAAGGCCACAGCGTGGCCTTAGTTTGCCACGACGTGGCGATTAAGGATTTATCGTCTATTTTGTCGTCCGTGGGCCACGACGTGGTCATGGATGGCCACGATATGGCAGTTGACTTTTGACCGTTGGCTTTTTGACTAGTTTGAATTTTGGTCTACTTGGGTAGAATTGAATATTTTGCTAAGGTTTGGTCTCGGCTTTGTTTTAGGAAGCTTGTGTTTGTTGTGTTGTTGATGAGGTAGCTGTTGAGCTTCTGTTTAGTTGTTCAAGTGAGTTTCCTCACTATACCTTTGGGTCAAAGGAACCAATTCCATCCCATTCGGTTATATATCCTGGTATATAGGATGGTGCTATGTTGTAGTAATCTGTTAGATCTGCATGATTATCTGTTTGCTGGTTATACATTTATCTGTTGCATATGTCAACATAGTGCGGTTGGGTTGAGGAAATGTTGCTTTATGCGGAAGCCAACAAACCTGGGAGCAAGCCATACATAAGTTGTGGGCCGGATAGGCAAGTCGGACTTATGTTTTGGGCTCAGGAGCAATCCAGACATGAGTTATGTGCCAAAAAGGCATGCCAGACTCATGTTGTGGGCTCAGAGGTAATCCAGTCCGATGGTTGTGGGCCCAGTATGCATGTTGTTACATCTTTGTGTGGTGGTGTTTTGGGGGAACTCACTAAGCTTTGGATTATAGTTTGATTTTACGGTTTCAGGTACATTAGATGATCGGGGGAAGGCAAAGGCGTGATTGTGCACATCACCCTTGGATATTTTGTTGATTGATGGTTTTAGGATACTTTGATTTGACTATGTTCTTGAAAACAATGTTTTTGTACGGTTTATGGATTATTAAAGGGTTTTAAAAATGAAAATTGTTACTCTAGATTTGGGGATGTTACAAAAGCTCTGAGGTTACAAAATAAGCAAGTATGCTTAGCGAGCTTTTCTAGTACGCTAACCCAAAAGTATAAACGTGTCCATCCTAGCCATTATACTAGGGAAAAGCCTAATATCCATAGTACACAATCAAAAGAACCATCAAATGAACTAGCTGTCTATAAACATAATCTATCCAAACATCCAAAAATGAAATCCTCGACTCTGCCTTCTCCACCAGAAGCTCCAACATGTCGGTGTGACTGATCACCTCCTCTAACACATGATGATGAAACTGAGCATCGTCCCTCGCATCCTGTAACTGGTCCTGAATAAGTAGGGTCATCATCTCCATTATGTGTCTCTCCTTCTTAAGATACTATACTCACTCTATTAATTGCCTCAATGTCATCCTCAAAATAAAGAGCTCAGAGTTCGTTGCCCCTATGCGGCCCGAGTGATGGGCATCCTGTAGTATAAGGAAGGATATAGCCTACTCGATCGGAGTGTTCGAGGTAGGGTCAGGTGTGGTAGAGGACTCCCCTACCTCGAAGCACGAGCCGATATCCTCTTCCTACTTCAAAGCTCTAATATAAGGCATCCAGGTGTAGTCCCCACAAGGTTTCTTCGATGGCGGTGGTGATGCCGATGGGGGTGCTGCTCTCTTTCGAGAGGGGATTGTAGTAGTCTTCCCTGCAGTTTGTTTCACCCGAGTACCAGTAGTGTGTGCACTGAAATATCGATGCGAATGAGTGAGGCGGGGTGGTGAGATCTCCAGCGAGATGGCAGTATCCTTCTTGTCCTCATCCGGGTCATAATCTGAGATGAGAAGATCAAATCCAGCTGGTGTGTAAACTGGTGAATGAACAGGCTCGGAAGGTTCCGAGCTGAAGTGATCGGCTGGTGTGTAGTCGGGCTCGGATGGGTGCTCGGTTAGAGTATATTCAGGCTCGGTGTCATCACCATCCTTCGTAGGCTCCTCTTCAGAATCCACGATCATCGTTGGGGTGTCGGTAGGGTCAGAAGTACCATGTACTTCATTCTCCTCTGCTGGTAGGGAAGCTGCACTCTACGATCCTGTGCCCGCCATACTCTTGGGCAAACCTACATAAGACATCAAACAGGAAATATGTTTATGAGAGATGTGAAGATCAATTAAATACAACATAATAACCAATTATAAGTATGTAATAGATAGCTCTTGTAACTCCTGAGTCTCTGTACTATGTCGTAAGTCACGATAGTGGTTCCTAAGCCAGAAATCCTCAAGTGTAGATGTCGTTAAGCCAGAAATCCTCAGACTTAGAATCCACTAAAAAGAAATCTTCAAGTATATAATCCTTGTCTATGCATCCAATATGGAAGTCCTCAAGCGTTTAGATTGCCAACCATCAATTTTAAGGGTTTTGTACTCCAATACTATCAAGTAAGGATCAACCAGGTGAGAAGTACCGGAGGGCAGGACCATTTTATCATATAGTCGTTCTAAAATCCAGCAACCCAAGTGATAGTTCAAACTAGTCACCTTTCCCGTAAGTAGTCAAGAAGTAGTGTAATTAATATGAATACTTTTAGTTTATTAGGCTTAAAGGATTAAACCTAATTAAATTGTAGCCCTAGATTATAGTTGTATTTCCTAAGGAATTACTAGTTCGCTATAATCTGAAGCTCTGGGACCAGTCTGTCACACCCCGGTCGGCGGCGTAAACGTCGAGTTGTGTGACGTTAGGATGTTGGACTTCAGGCCACAGGCATACATTGAATAATACATTGATATATTAAACAATGTTGCTATTTATTCATTAAATAAAATATATTACAAAGTTGCTCGAGGTACAAATAGGTCACAAAAGCAAAGTACAATAGTAAAGCACATAGACTTCGAGTTGTATCACCAGGGTTACCTCCCTCTCCATCTGGGTTCATTCTCCTGAGAATACATGTGGTTTTTGAAAGGTCGACATAATTTTGGTGAGTCCACATGTTTTAATTTTTAAACCGTTGTGTGGTTGTTTTAATTGTCTTGTTTATCCTAAACTCATTTCCTCTAGTTTGTGTGTACTATCGCTACTTTCTAGGTTATTTCTTAGTAGTATTCTAAGATAGTTAGTTTTAGTTTAGCAAAGTTACGATGAGTTCTTATAAATCGAGCTATGAATGTTGAGAGTTCCCCGAAAAACCACGACGCTTCATCGGACGTCGCAAATGTGTTTAGAAAGTTATTCCTGCTTCGACTTGCCGTCAGGTTATAGCTAGCAACCACAGGTGGGAGTGTCAATCCCGTATAAATATATACATATATTTCCTTCTCACTTAAGATATAACGATTATAGGTCAGGGGCTAGCTGAAAGTCTTTCAGCATGTTGATAAATCGTGTCTCATCTAACTCACGTTGTGGGGGCCTCCCCTGGTCGGTTGTGTTGTTTTTCTTTGTATCTGTTATAGATACTTATTATATACATTATTCATCTTATACACACACATAAATATATATATATATATATATATATATATATATATATATATATATATATAATTAGTGTGTTTTACGTAGCCGAATATTTGGGCAGAGTAACCACTAAGTACTAAGCTTCTCCAAAGGGTGGCTATAATAATGACTAGAGTATCGGCGTTTCCTGGCAACTAGTCAACGTAACAACTAGGTATGATGTTTTCTATCAGTATGAATCAGTATATCAACTAGGCATAATATTAACCTTAAAAGTTGGGCAGAGTATCTACCGGGCATAATATCATCATAATGTGATGAGCATAATTATCTAACTAATCTTATACAATTAGTAATAACTATGTAATATTTGTATATTAACATGTATCCCCCCCCCCCGAAAAGGTTTAGAAAATGGGGTCGTGAACTCACATGTAGATGTGTAACAGTTGTTGTAGGGTGGAAACAAAAAGTCCAAACTTCGAGAGGCGCTTGGGGGAAGTGGCACGTGGATCAAGAGAGTGAGAGAGGGTGTTTGAGAGGTGTGGGAATGAGACTATTGAAGCCTGCTATTTATATCAAGTTTTACGTGCACGCCGCGCATTTGCGTGTGAGCCATAGGGGTTGCCACATGTCGCCCTCTCCATGTGCCATGACACCCCATATCCAGGCGGATCGAGTGTCAAATTGCGCGCGGGTGCGCGCGACGGTAAAAATCAAACTTTGAAATTCCGTAACTCTCGCATACAAACTTCATTTTCAACGACTCTTATATATCTGTGTAGGTATCCACGCTCCCTACAACTTTCCTTTTGGTCGTTTTGGCTAGTTTTGACTTTCGTTTTGGGACTAGTTTTTATTACCGTTATGATTTTATAAAAATCATAACTCTCTCATACAGTTTCAGTTTTAGGCGTTCTTTGTCTAAAAATTCTTACTTTGATTAATACTACGATTGTCCTTTTGGTGAGTTTTTCCAAAAATCAACCATTCTACTTGTAGCTTTTGTCGTTGTAAATTCTTACGTACGGTAGATATTTATTTACTACAAAAGTCATATCTCACCCATACTGAGTCGGATTTCTATGAAATTTATATTTATGGGATCGTGGTAGCTCATATAATCTAAAAATGCTAACTTGCTCTCAAAGTGATGCGACTTTTCGTGCACTTATTTTTGAGCCTAAATGTTGACGTGATTAAGGACAAAAAATCGAATATATTAAAATATATTGGGTGGTTACAGTATTGTCCTTACTACATTTCCGTGTTTTACCGTTAAATATTAATGGAGGTTGATGACGTATTTTCCAGGTTGTCTGAACATGGTTTTGTGAGACTCTTCCATGAAAATATCCCTTATACCAACCATCTTTGGCACTCAAATTCTATTCTAGAATACTTTCAATTCTTGGTTGTTCATTTCAAACACTAACATCTTTCCCAGACATTCTTCTTTATGGTTATCTCCTTCCAAAACATCGATCTAAGCCTTTTTAATATTTTCCACAATTGTCGAGACAATTTCAATTCTTAATGCTCTTGGTTTTTCCTCTATAGGTTTATTTTTCTACTCAGAGAATCTACAATGACATTTGCTTTACCGGGGTGGTAAAGTATTTCGCAGTCATAGTGCTTGAGTAATTCTAGCCAACGCCTTTGTCTCATGTTCAACTCTTTTTGATCAAAGACCTATTGAAGGTTCTTATGATTATTGAAAAGTTTACACTTTGTTCCATAGAGATAATGTCTCCATATATTTTTTTTAAACGGAAAATATACTAAACTACACCTAATTTATTCCACCTACGTCCACAGCCGGACTTGAACCCTCAACCTCAAGGAAGGAGGGCAACACCGGATACCGCTGGGCTACGTGAAAACTACCACTGCCAACTCTAAATCATGAGTGGGGTAGTTCCGTTCATAAATTTTCAATTATCGTGATGTATATGCTATTACTTTATCCTTTGGGTCAAAACACATCCTAATCCAAATCCAGATACATCACTGTAAATTATAAAGTCTTTAACCCCATCGGGTAAAGCAAGGATCGATGCTTCACACAGCATTTTCTTCAGTTTATTAAAAGCTTATTCATGCTTCTCACTCCATGCATAGATAGTCCCTTTATGGGTCAAGGCCGTCAATGGAGAAACTATTGAAGAAAATCCTTGGATAAACCTTCAGTAATATCTAGCTAACCCCAGAAAACTATGAATTTTAGTAGGACTTTTTGGACTTTCTAACTTCATTACTGCTTCAATTTTTGCTGAGTCAACCTTTATGCCTTCTTGGTTAACCACATGACCCAAGAATTGCACCTCTCGGATCCAAAAATCGCATTTGGAGAACTTTTCATATAGCTTGTCGATGAACACTATTACAGATCTATCGAGGAAAGGTTTACAAACTTGATTCATTAGATCCACAAATGTTGTTGAAGCATTGGTTAGTCCAAATGTGAAAACTACCGTTGCCAACTCTAAATCATGAGTGTGGTAGTTCCGTTCATGAATTTTCAATTATCGTGATGCATATGCTATTACTTTATCCCTTTGTGTCAAAAAATATCATAACCCAACTCCAAATGCATCATTGTAACTATAAAGTCTTCAAACCCATCGGGTAAAGCAAGGATCGATGCTTCACACAATAGTTTCTTCAGTTTATTAAAAGCTCTTCATGCTTCTCACTCCATGCATAGGTTGTCCCTTTGTATGTCAAGGTCTTCAATGGAGCATCTATTGAAGAAAAGCCTTGGATAAACCTTTGGTAATATCTAGCTAACCCTAGAAAACTACGAATTTTGGTGAGAATTTTTGGCCTTTCCCACTTCATTATTGCTTTAGTTATTGCTTGGTTAACCTTTAAGCCTTATGGTTACCACATGACCCAAGAATTTCACCTCTCGGATCCAAAATTGCATTTGGAGAACTTTTCATATAGCTTCTATTTTCTCAAAACTTCTAATACTTCATGCAAATGCTTGCCACGCTCTTGCTTTCTTTTAGAGTATATTAGGATATTGTCGATGAACACTATTACATATTTATCAAGAAAAGGTTTACAAACTCAATTCATTAGATCCATAAATTTTGTTGAAGCGTTGGTTAGTCCAAACGACATAACCAAAAATTCATAGTGTCTGTATCTTGTTTTGAAAGTTTTTTTTGTCGATATCTTGTTCCCTCACCTTCAGTTGATGATACCCTGACCTGATAGCTTGCACGTTGCAGCTGATCGAACAGGTCATCAATTCTAGGCAATGGGTATTTATTCTTCATTGTTTCTTTATTCAACTCCCTATAGTCTATGCACATTCTCATGGTTCCATCCTTCTTCTTCACGAATAGCACATGGGATCCCTAGGGCAATGAACTAGGTCTAATGAAACCTTTCTCCAATAACTCCTGAAGTTGCATCTTAAGCTCCGTCATATCCATTGGTTCTAATTGATATGGTACTTTTGTTATTGGTGGCGTTCCTAGCAATAAGTCTATTCGGAACTCCACTTTCCTATCATGTGGCAGTCCAACAAGATCTTCGA